AACGTACAGAGGAGGATGACAAAGATGATCCCATGTATCAGAAATCTTCCCTATGAGGATAGACTGAGGGCCCTGAATCTGCACTCTCTCGAAAGGCGTAGAATTAGGGGGGATATGATCGAGGTGTATAAATGGAAAACAGGAATAAATAAAGGGGATGTAAATAGCGTGCTGAAAATTTCCAGCCAAGACAGGACTCGCAGCAATGGTTTCAAGTTGGAAAAATTCAGATTCAGAAAGGATATAGGAAAGCACTGGTTTGGTGATAGTTGTGGATGAGTGGAACGAACTCCTGAGTACAGTTATTCAGGCTAAAATGTTGTGTAGTTTTAAAAATAGGTTAGATAAATACATGAGTGGGTGTGGGTGGGTGTGAGTTGGACCTGACTAGATTGTGCTGCTGGGTCTGGTGCAGTGCTCCACCCTTGAGTGGAGATGATCAGACTGGGTGGGTCATTGGGCTAATCCGGGGGGGGGGGGGGGGGGCATGGACCTGCTCCGCATGGGTCAGTAGGCCTGTTGCAGTCTTCCTTCTTTCTTATGTTCTTATCTGGGGTTACTTCCCTTCTTTGTCTTTTAAGGCCACTAGGACCAGCTTGAGTCACTGGACCCCTGTCGCACAAAATAACTGTGAAGAGTGCTCTGTTTCTGGCATCTCTGAGATTTCCCTGAAGTGGGATGAGGTTTTGTCACTGAACATTTTCCAGATATGACTTGTTTCAGCTTGGTCAGGGTGATACTTTTCAACAAAAGTTTGCAACTCATTCCACTTTGCACACACGTCCTTAACTACTGAAGAAAGCGCCTCTTTCACTCTCTTCCTCTGAAGCAAGTTCCTCGGCTGTGGTCTGATGCTGTTCCAGTTGAAGCTCTTGCAGTTCAACAGTGGTTAGCTTTTCCCTGTGGTCCTCCACCAACTCTTCCACATCCTTGCCACTCATCTCCAACCCCTTGTACTTGCCCAGTGCCACAATACCTTCCACAACATGCAGAGTCGGTATGGTCAGGGTGAGCTTCAAGCCCTTCAAAATCCCTGTGGACGACACATTGTGGCCACAATTGTCTCCAAGCAGAGTTCAAAGTCCTGGAAGTCACTCCTGCCCAAGCCTTACCTATAAGGCTTATGCAATGGAGGATACTGAAGTGCTTCCTCCAGAACTCTCTTAGGGTCAGCTGAGTGTCTGAGGTCACTTCAAAGCACCTTTCAAACACTGCTTTGGTGTAGAGTTTTTTGAAGTTAGAAATGATCTGCTGGTCCATGGGCTAGAGGAGAGGAGAGGAGGGAGTGTGTTAGGAGGCAAGAATTTCACTGTGATGGAACTGAAGTCCCTAGACAATAGGTCTTCCAAATTTGGAGAATGAGCAGGAGCATTGTCCATTACCAGGAGGCACTTGAGCGGCAAATTATTTTCAAGGAGGTATTTTTTTCACACTGGCGGCAAACACTTCATGGGCCCACTCTTTGAAAATTTGCCTCGTGACCCATGCCTTATTTGCTTTCCACAAGACAATTTATTCTTGATGACATTGTTTTTCTTGAACACACTGGGATTTTTCTGAGTGATACACCAGTAAAGGCTTCACTTTAAAATCCCCACTAGCATTAGCACAGAACAAATGAGTTTGCCTGTCTTTCATAGGCAGTGCCATTTCCTCCTGAGTATTGTAGGTCCTCTTTGGCATTTTCTTCCAAAACAGGCCTGTTTCGTTACAATTGAACACTTGGGGTTTGAATTTTTCAGTCTCTCACACCCCTTAACCCTTTCAGGGTCCGTCCCGTAGATCTACGGCTTTACGTTCAGGGTCCGAACCGTAGATCTACGTCATGAGCTCAGCTCACTCTGATAAACTGTGAGTGGTACATTTGGGCCTAGATATGAGAGAATACATCTATGTGGTATGTGTGCACCACATAAAAAATCCTGCAGCACACTGTGTATAATGAGAGAAAAACTGTAACCAAGATTTTTTATTAAAATGGCAACTTTGCAGTGTTCTTTCATATGTTTTTTATAGTTGTATTTGCAATTTCTTGGTCTCATTTGATAGAATGGAAGACATATTACAGAAATAGAGATGATTTTGATTAGTTTTAGCACTGGAAATGGCTTGAAACTGAGCTCAAAGTAGCGGAAATGTTAAATTTTTGCCGATGTTCAAGAGTAAACAAACGACCTCACACGTCTAATACATGCCAGCTGGTGGGTCTAATATACATTCACAAATGTGGTGATGATATTTATACAATTATTACAATATTGCATAACAGTAAATCTTCTATTTTTTGGTGTGAATAAAAATTCATTGTGAATAAAAAATCAAATTGGGATTTATTTGTAAAGCCTCAAAACGTAACTAATGAACAGAGGAAATGTTAGTTTAGTGCCAGGAATACCTACATTGTTTATTCTGGATGCTATTTTGAAATTGGAATATTTTGAACTTTGTGTTAAATTACCAATTTCCGATCACTTTATTTTGTAGTTGAAACAGTTGACTTGGCGATTTCTTGTGCTCAATCGATAGAATAGAAGTAATACTAGTGAAATAGCTAAGAATTTGGTAGACTGGTATGATGTAATTGGCCTAAAATGGGAGTCAAAGTTGGCAAAATCGCCGATTCGTAAATATCGCTGACACATCAAAATTCGCGAGAGCATAATTTCGTCAATTTTCCATCAAATTTCATACTTTTTGTTTTATTACCTTCACAAAAAGATTCTCTACCATTTCATAAGAAAAAATAACAAATTTTTTTTTGGAAAATTCTTGAACACTGGGACACCACTTCAGATTTTGGCCTTGGACCCTGAAGGGGTTAAATTCACTCATAAAGTTTTCAGTCGCACGTTTGTCTGAACTTGCTGCCTCGCCATGCCTTACCACATTGTGTATGCCATTACGCTTCTTAAATCTGTCAAACCAGCCTCTGCTGGCCTTAAATTCACTATCTTCAGCACTGGTTCCAGGCATTTTTTTTATAAGATCGGCATGAAACTGCCTTGCCTTCTCACAAATCATCGACTCTGAAACGCTATCACCCGCTATCTGTTTATTGTTGATTCACACCACCAACACCTTCTCAACCTCTTTGACTGTTTGTGATCTATTTTTGGATAACATGAAAACACCTTTCGCAACATTAGCTTCCTTGAGTTCTCTTCGCCAGGATAGAAGTGATAGTCGATTTGTTTTTGCCGTACATCCTGGCAAGCTCCCCCACACGGACGCCACTCTCGTATTTTTCTACTATCTCCTCCTTCGCTGGTATGGTGTTCCTCACTTTCATTACCATAGGGCCCGTGGTGGCTTATTTCACGGTCACAATTAATGGATGGCTGGCTGCCTGGCTGGCTGGATGGCTGCCTGGCAGGCAGGATGAGAGCGCAGAGTAATATTCACTCAAGGATAAACAATGCTAGACTGGCTCACGACGCCTTTTGTCTGAAGCAACTTAAAGTGGATACTCTGAGGGCACTATTTATTCTTAAGATAATCTCTCACCTTACCTGGGGGCAGATCGACAGACCATTCTCTTCCTGTATGCAGCCTTGTTGAACCAGGCTGCCATTTGTACTCCTTGGCCAGCTCTCACTGCTGTGCTTCCTAAATTTTGTCCCTCACCAAGGGGTTAGGCTTTGCACAGGTGCATTTTGTACCTACCATTTTGAAGGCCTCTGAGACTGGCGAGTTTCCCTTGGATCTCTTAAATCTTGCTCATAGCCACCTGTTTATAAGTGTTCCTACTCCCTCCCTGTGTGTAGCTAGTGATGTGCAGGTGACTGTGGAACACATTTTAACTGTTTGCCCATGGCTTAGGCTTTTTTTGCTTTATTGTGGGTTTTTGTAATTTCTGGGGTTCCTGAAGGGATCTTTGAACTTTTAGGAAGGTTGTTTAACATTAATAATTTAATGGGATTTTTAACTGATACTGTTTTTTTTTTAACTTGATGTAGTAATATGTTTTATTCTTGTTAGATTTTTATTTGTTAATTTTATCTTTATCTTGTGAATTTTATGTATTTTTGCCACGAGTGCTAAGCTATTTGCATGTTCAGTGTTAAAATTTCAAAACTATATTCCAGATACCCAATACCCTCATCATAGCATAGAGGAAGTAATGAGCATATGTAGTCTTCAGTTAGATAAAATGCAGGAGTGTGAATGGACAAGGGAAAGGATTATAATCAAGAAGGGGAGCACTAAACCTTCAGGGCTCATGCAGTGCTTGGGGGAATGGGAGGTAATCAGGTTCAGTCTAAGGAATGGGAGGGCAGGTCCTAATCCTTGATAAGAATTCCTTGCTGGCATCAAGGAACCTACCTTGAGGGAGTAGGGGAGAAGTAGGCAGCCCAACTACTGCCTGCCACTACAGATCACATTTCTCCCACATTAAACTAGTGAGGAAGTGATGAGCATGTGTAAAGAGTATTGTCAAATGTGATGTGGGAGTGTGTAGGAATGTGGTTGAAAGTTTTCACTCACTTACAAGGTGCAGTGAAGGTGGCTAGTGGTAGGCCTGGTATTTTATTTCATAGATACATGTATTATGAAATCTTGTTGGCCATTATTACCAGTATCTTGAACTGTTGTATACTTAGTTATATACTCTTGTAAGACAAGATACTGGGCCCTAAATGACAGTTCATCTCCAAATTTGATTTGCAAAAAGTAATTTTTACTTGTTTTAATGGTTTGGTTGAAAGGGAAAATTACAGCACTTCCATTTTGATGTTCATTGCAGGATATCAAATTTCCAGCTTGACCAGCATTGGGATAATGGCATTGTTGTCTGTGTTACTACTAGTTTGAGTTAACCACAGCTGATCTGCTGCAGTTGTGATACTCCCTCATTTTGAATTTATATCTACCCTCATCTTTTTTAATAACTGTTAATATTTCCCCATTCTCCTTCCCACCCTTCCTTTTTTACCCCCATGCAGTGCTGCATGACACACATGGGTTGAGCATTTATTTAAAATAATTTTTGTTTATCTTAGGACTTGCCGGACTGACTGGGTTAGTAGCTTATGGCATCTATGGCTTCAAGAACAGGCAACTAAAAACATCACTCTACCTTATTCACCTACGCGTGGGTGCTCAAGGCTTCGTTGTGGCATGTCTTACTGCAGGTGTAGGTTATAACCTATACACCAAATTTTTAGCTCCAAAATTATTCCCAGAGAGTGTTGAAGATACCAAAGAATAGAAACTTAGTTTTTTTTTTAATGAAGTGAAACTGTTCATAAAGGACTTCTTTACTATTAAAACAATACATCTTTCAATAATTTTTTTACAGTAGGGAGATGCATATATTTAGTGTAAATCTCTTGTATGAAGATTGCCTATGTGTTAGTTATAAGTTACTATCATGAGGTAGTTAAATTGAGTGTTTATTTTGCTTGATAATATAATTCATACATCATTGAACCTTCATTATCAGCATTCAAACTTAAGGTAATTATTTACTGCAGATAATAAGTAGAAACATTATTTTTATCTGTATTGATAAATGGGTTATAAACTTGGAACACTGTTACTCTAATTTTTGGTGTGTATGAGTTGTAATTTATATTTTCCACTTGGAAAAACTTAAACCTGATTTTCTGAGTGGTGATATTTCTTCCATATATGTTGCAGTCATTTTAGACATGGAAGAATATAGAAGTCACAGGGTAAACACTCGCACGGTATTACCAGCATGTAATTTTTGTAGTTTAAAAAAAAATACTTGGTCTGTAGATGCTTCCAAAAGAAATTAATATAATGTTTTTATATTTTAAGTAAAAGAAGGCAATAATACAAAGACACTACAGTATTTTATTGAGAAAGGGAATTGGTTGTCTTGCAAATTTGAATCTGGTTGAAAATACTCTATACAAAATATTGTTAATGTGTTGATGTACTGTTACATATTTTTAATCTATGGTTTTGACAGGTCCTTACAGGTTTAGCACTTATAATGATGTATAGTTGAATAGCTTTATCCCTCTTCACTACCAGTGATGGTAGTGAAGACAACAACCAAACAAGAGCTAATAAGGGTTACTCTGTGGTTCAAACTATGGGTACTTGTGAAAGTACTATAGCTATCTATCTTTTTCATTATTTAAAATTTGAAGTGGTATATATAATTTTAGTTACAGTTAGTATTAAAGTATAATTTTGAAAGTTATTGTCAAAACTCTTTAGCATTCAAAAAAAGTGATATTATTTAGCTGCTTTTTATAATTCTGTTCAGATTTTGTATGTAGTAAAGACTGAATATTCCTTCATGCTTGAAAAAAAATGGGAAGATTCCATATTTTGTGTTGAATGACTGTAGTTTGCTAAATGTTAATCTTTAGGCTTTAACAATTAGTCCTGACTTGACAATTTGAATAGATTATATCAGTTAATATAAATTGTTTGGTTGTCAGTCTTGTTTGAATTTAGTTTTGTTCCTATTTCAGTTTGGCTGTGAATGAGTCGGTTGAAGTTGGTGTGTGATTTAAATTCACCATAAATAATAATGTATATTTAAAATATAAAATATTTTTTGTAGTTAATAAAAGCCAATGATAAGAGTAAGTATTTTTACTTAATTTTCCTGCCGTGTGGCTTCTTCAGTACGATATTTGTCACACAAAAAGTTGTAACCTGCTGATACAAGTACAGCAATACCTTGCATAGTGTGGTTAATGGGTGCCAGAAGATACCATACTGATCAAGGTACAGTGGAACTCCGTTTTCGTATGGTCTGCATATTGTACAATTCGGATTTAGAATACTGTTTTGGGCAAAATTTTGGTCTGGATTTCGTACCTCAGTCTGGAAATCACACGTGTCCGCCTGCCTAGGAACGCTGTCAGTCTGGCTTTGTCACTGGTTGAGTGAGCATTCATTCGAAACATTTCACAATTTTTGTGCTTGTTTATTGATTGTGACTGCGAAATAAGCCATCCTGGGCCCAAAGAAAGTTCCTAGTGCCCGCCCTTTCGTAAAGGTGAGAAACACGATAGAATTCTTCAGTGATTCTATGACATGTACAGTACAAAAGCAGCAGGAGTCAATAAAGGCTATAGCACCAGCCAGCGATAAAGTGTAGCATTAAGAGTGTAGCAAGTAAGTTAAGCGATTAAGAGAAAAAGGACGACACGAAACTAACTCCACTGACAACATACGCCGCACTGCTCTATCTTCCATCACCCTAAACCTCCGCTGCTGCCACATGTGGACTTTTCTAACCCCACTCCAACATTATATCTTCCCCTGCTTTTAACATTGCTGTCATGATCCCATAAATTCCAGCTGCTTTCACTCTATTTTTCATTCTACCTCGTGCACCTTCCCCCACGCTCACATCCGGCTCTTCTTCACTCTTAAAAGATGTTATACTTCCCTGGCCAATGCATGAAATTACTGCCTCCTTTTCTTCATCAACATTTAACAGTTCCTCAAAATATTCCTGCCATCTTCCCAGTACAGTGGTACCTCGAGTTTCGAACACCTCCCAACTCGAGCAATTATGTAAGTGTATTTTGTAAGTGCTTTGTAAGTGTATTTTTGGGGGTCTGAAATGGACTAATCTAATTAACATTACTCCTTATGGGAACAAAATCATTCAGTAACAGCATGCAAACAGCCGTCTGGAACGAATTATGGCCGAAACTCGAGGTACCACTGTACCTCTAACTCCCAGTGGTGGGCACAGTTCTGCTAATCTATTAACTGCTAATTAGTGGAACTAATTTTTTTGTTTAGCAGATTAGCATTTCTGCTAACTTTGGAAACCGTTAGCTGACCAATTAGCTCCCGCTAAATAGTTCTTCTAGCTTTGAGCCCCCGCCCTAAAAAAAAGTTCAGTAGTCGTAAAGCAATGCCTTTGCAACGGCGCACGTGTTTGTTCCTGTCTGTTGTGGGTGTTTCTCCAACAGTCAGGCACACTATTGGCTGTGTGTGTAAACATGACTTGTCAATGCAGCAGCATTGTTATAGTCCTCCATACCCCTCCCCCTCAATCAGACAATACCATCTTAGGAGATATATCTCCTATTTTGAAAGTTCTCATTATGCAAGCTGTCATTATTCTGCTGTTTGCTATGTGTTTTATTGTGATCTCTGACTTTTTTTTTTTTTTTTTTTTTTTCTCTCTCTCAACAAGTCGGCCGTCTCCCACCGAGGCAGGGTGACCCAAAGATAAAGAAAATCCCAAAGAAGAAAAAACTATCACCATTCAACACTTTCACCTCACACATAATCACTGTTTTTGCAGAGGTGCCCAGAATACAACAGTTTAGAAGTATATACGTATAAAAACACACAACATATCTCTCCAAACTGCCAGTATCCCAAACCCCTCCTTTAGAGTGCAGGCACTGTACTTCCCATTTCCAGGACTCGAGTCCGGTTATATAAAATAACTGGTTTCCCTGAATCCCTTCACTAAATATTACCCTGCTCACACTCCAACAGATCGTCAGGTCCCAAATTATTTTTCCTAATTTTGTACAGTAGAACCTCGGTTTTCATCATTAATTTGTTCCAGAAAGTCTGACGAAAACCGAATTCGACAAAAACTGAAGCAATATTTCAAATAATGTAAATCCAATTAATCCGTTCCAGACACTCAAAAGTATTAACAAAAATATATTTTATAGAGAATAACTATAGTTTTACATACAAAAAACAATGAGAAATAAATATAAACGACTAATGGAATGGATAAATGAGCATTTAACATCACTTGTACCTTTATTGAAGACTTGTTGGCATATGGAAGATGGCAAGGAGGGGAGAGGGAGGAGAGGTTATCTCTACCACCATCACTACCACCCTCTACCACCATCACTACCACCCTTTACCAATGAGAAACAAAGCCAGACATGTTAGGTACGGCAGACCATTGTCAACTTGACGAAAACCAAGGTGATGAATGAAAACGAGACAAAATTTTGAAAAGTCATCGAAAACCGAATTCGACAAAAACCAGGGCAAACGAAAACAGAGCTTCCACTGTACAGTGGACCCCCGGTTCGCGATATTAATCCGTTCCTGAGAGCTCATCGTAAACCAAAATTATCGGAAAGCGAATCAATTTTCCCCATAAGAAATAATGGAAATCAAATTAATCCGTGCAAGACACCCAAAAGTATGAAAAAAAACTTTTACCATGTGAAATATTTAGTTTAATGCAATAGAATAATTACAATAACAATAGAATAATTGACACTTACCTTTAATGAAGATCTGGTAATGATTGATGGGATGGGAGGAGGGGAGAGTGTTGAACCTATTGTTTAGAAGGGGAATCCCCCTCCATTAGGACTTGAGGTAGCAAGTCCTTTTCTGGGGTTACTTCCCTTCTTTTAATGCCACTAGGACCAGCTTGAGTCACTGGACTTCTGTCGCACGACACATCTGTCCATAGAGGCCTGTACCTCTCGCTCCTTTATGACTTTCCTGAAGTGGTTCACAACATTATCAGTGTAATAGTCACCAGCACGGCTTGCAATAGCTGTGTTAGGGTGATTTTCATCCATAAAGGTTTGCAGTTCAACCCACTGTGCACACATTTCCTTAATTTTTGAAGTAGGCACAATGGATTAGACAACTGGCATAGGCTTCTCAGGGTTAGCCCCAAACCCTTCAAAATCTTTCTTAATTTCCATACTAATTCTCACCCTTTTTACCACAGGGTTGGCACTAGAAGCTTTCTTGGGGCCCATGGTGACTTGTTTTGCAGAAACAAGTACCAAAAACAGTGATAATATGGATAATATGGAATGTACTGAATGTATCCTTAGATGCACGCACACTGGCTGGCTTGTAAACACTGGCACACACAGGGCAGTTCAGGCCACATGTGGACATGTCTCGTACGAATCGTATCGCATACTGGGTTTTGTAACTGGAACCCGAGGCAAATTTTTTGCGATATAATGCATCAGATACCGGATTTATCAGATACCGATAGCATCGCGAACCGGGGGTCCACTGTACTTGTTTCTTATATTCTAAGTTTATTCAGGTATACACAAATACAGTGGTCCCCCAATAATCGTCCAGCCTGAAAGTTGTCCATTTCGGAAATAGTCCTGTTTTTTCGTCTAAATATTGGCTCGCAAATGGTCCGGTAACTCGCTAATAGTCCTTTGTCCCGGACGCGTACTCACGCTCTGAGCCGCCTCGGCCTTTCCTTCCCAGCCAGTGTGCCATTGTTTACCAGTGAGCGACGGTCCCCCTCACGTGCTCCAGCGAAATATTTCATAATATTCCATTTATTTTAGTGCTTGCAAGCTATTTAAGTGCTTAATAAGCTACCATGGCTCCAAAGAAAGCTCCTAGTGCCAAGCCTTTGGTAAAGAAGGCGAGAAATACAATTGAATTTAAGAAAAACGTCATTGAACAATATGATAGTGGCGTACGTGTGGGCAAACTGGCCAGGATGTATAACAAATCCCATACAACCATATCTTCCATCATAGCCAAGAAAAAGGAAATAAAGGATGCTGTTGTTGCAAAGGGGGTAAATATGCTGACAAAAATGAGATCACCAGTACTCGAAGATGTTGAGAAGTTATTATTGGTGTGGATAAATGAGAAACAATTAGCAGGAGATAGTCTTATGACGTCGCTTATTTGTGAAAACGCTAGGCAGTTGCATGACGATTTGGTAAAGAAATTGCCTGCAACTAGTGGTCATGTGAGTGAATTTAAGGCCAGCAAAGGCTGGTTTGAGAGATTTAAGAAGCATACTGGCATACACAGTGTGGTAAGGCATGGTGAGGCTGCCAGTTCGGACCACAAGGCGGCTGAAAAATATGTGCATGAATTCAAGGAGTACATAAACAGTGAAGGACTGAAACTTGAACAAGTGTTCAATTGTGACGAAACAGGCCTCTTTTGGAAGAAAATGCCAAAGAGGACCTACATTACTCAAGAAGAAAAGGCGCTGCCAGGACACAAGCCTATGAAAGACAGGCTGACGCTAATGTTCTGTGCTAATGCTAGTGGGGATTTCAAAGTGAAGCATTTACTAGTGTACCATTCTGAAAATCCCAGAGTGTTCAAGAAAAACAATGTTATGAAGAGTAAATTGTGTTTTTTTGGGATCTAATAAAGGAAAGGGTCAAAGGGACTTTTTTTCGTCGAGTGGTTAAATGAAGTGTTTGGCCCTATGTGAAGAATTGCTCTTGGAAAAAAAATTTGGGATCTCAATGCCTCCTGTAAGGGGACAATGCCCCTGCTCACCTCCAAACTTGGATGACCTAATTCTAAAGGGTTTGGGTTCATCACATAAAGCCTTGCCCCCAAATAGCACCCTCTCCTCCACCCATGGACCAGCAAGTCATTTCAAACTTTAAAAAAACCTACACCAAAAGCAATGTTTGAAAGGTGCTTGAATGGACCTCAGACACTCACTTGCCCAAAAATTTTTTGGAAAGAACACTTCAGTATTCTCCATTGCGAGCCTTAAGGTAAGGCTTGGGAGTGAGTGATACCAGGACTTTGTTTCTGCTTGGAGAAAATTGTGGCCAATTGTGTCCACAAGAGGGTTTTAAAAGGTTTTGGGAGCCCCCTGATG